AAATGTTAATCACTTGACAACCCTATTGCTTTATCACACAGCACAGACTCGGTCGACTGTATCGACAGCCTCTGTTTATAAAGCTAAGCATGACTAATACCTGTACAGTAACAACGTTATACTTACCTTCATAATCATTAAAATTACTACCTTAAAAATATACTTGTTAACATTTAATTAATTTTATTATTGTAAAGAATATTACGAATAAACAAATCAAAAATATACCACTTAAAGAAAATTATGAATAAATGAGAGCTTTTGAAAGACCTAAAAAACTATATTGATGGAAAACAGAGTGCCACAATAAATTATAAAAGCAATATTGCTCTACAAACAACTTTCACTTTGTTGCATAAAAATAAAAATAAGCCTACGCGCTTGTCCCGTTTGAAAGATCCAACACCGGGCTTGGATGCATAAATCGAACATCACTCGAAATTTTTTTATTATTTTTTTTATAAAAAAGGGTTATCCCAAGATAAAGCATTGAATAAATAGAACAATATACTTAAAATCCTAATATAAGTAATCCATATTAGGAATTGTCACACATGAGCTGTTAAATGTACAAGAAAGCGTGTTTCATTTTATGTCGATTTCCAATGCCTAAAATTTAAAACAAACTTTTCTGGTTAATGTGCACATTCTATCTGAATACTTACACCTCAGATGTCGCAGTCGCTGCAAAACACCCGCACACAATCAGGATGTGGAGAAGCCTCATATTTAGTTTCTATCTCTCCAAATTTGTCTTCTTCCAACTCAAAGATTGTACACCTCTAAGCGGCAAACTCTGAAGTGTGCCGTATTAGTATTATTCGCGGTATTAATAATGAGATAAAACGTGTCGAAATAGCCTACCGTTTATTAAGACAGATTTACATTTTAATGCCTACATAGTAAACATAACTTCGGCATATGGTCACACGCAAAACAAGCATAAAAAACAATTGATTGAATGAAATTACAAATATTCTACTGTTAATTAAATAAAGCTAACTATTGAGTTAAATAAGCACATGGTGACACACAAGCCGATTAAAATAGAATAATTAAATTAATCGAAATATGATTTAATGCTCGCGGACATCAATTGATATCGGGGGAGTTTATAAAAATTATCAATCAATTTGTTTACCTAACAGTCTATTGGCATCATCAAGCCTATTAGATGACCCGAAGAAAAAGTGATCCAAAATTCGTAGGCCTATAATGATGGGGAAAGTAATTTTTTTCGTACATGAGTATGTGTATTAATAGTCTATTTTTTTTCAAATTGGGAATGGTACCTTATAAAATGTAATGATTGAAATGATTGATTGATTGGTTGATAATACTTATATTGGCGAAGCTTCATCGGGGATTAGATCAATACATTTAATGCGTACGCAAATGACAATTTATGCGTAGGCATATACCTTACACTCAAATAATAAATAATAATGTGTGTGCAAGATAAAAGTTGATTATTGTTGATTAGCCACTATATTTTTGACATTGTCTAATAACTAAATGCAGTCTTTCGGCTTTATCAAGTATCTCTAGCCAGCCACTTCGTGAGCGAAAATAGTTTGGTATGCCAAGGACCTAACATTTCCTTGCCCCGGACGCATTATTTCCCCCATAATTAAGGCAGAAATTATAGAGGGTGTTATTTTTGGTAATTTTGGTAAACTGATAAACTTGAATACCGTACTCGCGCGAATAAGCGCCCTGTTTCGAATAACCGCCCCTCCTAACGTGAACATTTCCTTAAGCGCCCCGTTTGAATAAGCGCCCCTCATAAGATTTTCTTTTTAGCAAGTCAATAATCTAATCAATCCTGGGACTGTGGTTGTTGGCATGATTTGAGCTGTAGAGTGGAAACACATTCTTCTTCGTCAATATCAAAATGAGGATATTTCTCTTGGACAGATGAGAGCTCCGATCCCTGGAAAGACAGTATATTTCCAACTTTACTCTTTTTACATATTTGTCTATGCATAGTTCTACTCCTCTTTCTCTTTTCCTGACCTTTAGCACATTCTCATTTAGTTTTCAAGAAAAAATACAATGATCCTGCCATCCTGCTAATCTTAATCGGCCGATGGCCAACAAGCTAACCACTAGCATCTGCTATTTTGCTGTTATGTAAATATTCACGCATTCTTGTAATGAGCCATTTTCTCTGGACGATTATCTTTTCTAACCACCATTCGTGATGTCCTTATATAATCTTTTTTCATTCAAAAGTGACTCTTGAATTTAAAAACTTTCCATAAGAACCCCTCGATTTTCATCTATTTCCATAAGCGCCCCCTCAATTTCCACTCTGTTTTCATAAGCGACCCGTTTAAATAAGCGCCCCTCAGAAAGTGCAAAAATATTTTAAGCGCCCGGGCAATTATTCGCGCGAGTACGGTATTTGGTACGAAAACACAACACTCCTCACTCCTATATTTCTTGAGGCAAACTTAGCATTTTTAGTGGTTGCTATCTGGATAGATAAACTGGAGGTCGTGGGTTCGATTCCCACACGAAACATTTTTTAAATATTTATTTTACTGGCCAGTAATTGGGGACGTACTGAGTATTTAAAATGTCCACTAAATAATTTTAGATAACATAGTATAATACATGACCATGCATAATTGACCCACAGCTGTATATTTCATCTTTACATTTCTTTAGTTAGACCTTTTTTTGATTATCCCTGTGTTATTTATACTGTAATTCTATTTCGTTCTTACAAGCCCATCAGATTGAGAGAGTCCAGTCTAAATTTTCATATTTTTTAAATCACAATTTTAAAAATGACGATATTGTTTCATACGCACTTCCCTCACTTAGAGAAATATTTTTGATATGGATTTTCTTTTTAAATGTGTTAATTGTATTTTTGGTACTATATTTTATGTTCTTTATTCCCTCTTAAGATTAATAGACCTGGCTCTGGCCTTCGTAATGACCTATTTTTGGTTCCCTTTAACAGAGTCAATTGCAATAAAAAGTGGATTTATTCATCGTCTTGCCAATTTTTTAAATAACCTTTCTCACAATTTTACGTCAGTCGATATTTTTCGCCAGAGCCTTAGTTCATTCAAAACCAGCTTATCGCAATCTTTAATCCATACCAAGTGGCTTATTTTCTGGGTGGGTTAATTCCTTTATTTGTCTTTTTCTTTGTTTTTGATTTTTCGTCTTGTTTGTGTGCTTTCTTTTTTTTCTTACCTTTGTTCTGTGTTCTGTATGTATTTTTATGTGTTTTTTCTGTTCTGTATTGTCTAGCTATGTTTTTAATTGCTCTGTTCTGTCTGTGTGTCTAAATAATCTCAGATAACATAGTATAATAAATGACCATGCATAATTGACCCACAGCTGTATACTGCATCTTTGCATTCCTTTAGTTAGACCTTTTTTTTAAAATTATTCCAGTGTTATTTATACTGTAATTCTATTTCGTTCTTACAAGCCCATCAGATTGAGAGAGTCCAGTCTAAATTTTTATATTTTTTAAATCACAATTTTAAAAATGACGATATTGTTTCATACGCACTTCCCTCTCTTAGAGAAATATTTTTGATATGGTTTTTCTTTTTAAATGTGTTAATTCTATTTTTGGTACTATAGTTTATGTTCTTTATTCCCTCTTAAGATTAATAGACCTGGCTCTGACCGTCATAATGACCTATTTTTGGTTCCCGTTAACAGAGTCAATTGAAATAAAAATGTATTTATTCATCGTCTTGCCAACTTTTTAAATAACCTTTCTCACAATTTTAGGTCAGTCGATATTTTTCACCAGAGTTTTAGTTCATTCAAAACCAGCTTATCGCAATCTTTAATCCATAATACCAAGTGACTTATTTTCTGGGTGGGTTAATTCCTTTATTCCTTTGTTTGTCTTTTTCTTTGTTTTTGATTTTTGTCTTGTTTGTGTGCTTTCGTTTTTTCTCACCTTTTTTTGTGTTCTGTATGTATTTTTATGTGTTTTTTTCTGTTCTGTATTGTCTAGCTATGTTTTTAATTGCTCTGTTCTGTCTGTGTGTTTCTGTTGTACCTGTGTTCTGTGTTTTGTCTGTATTTGTATATTTACTTATTTCTATTTGTATTTTTTATTTGTTTTATTTTCAATTTTTAGCTTAAGATGTTCCTCTTAGCAATATTTTTGTAAATTTTAATTAATATCAAGCTGTCAATTACCAAACCACAAGGACAATCGGAAAGTTGTCGTGTGTAATCAGAAATATTCGGCATAATAAATTTGGGAAAAGTTAGGGCTCCCGTCAGCACAAAAGATATACATTGACAATGATGGAACTTTGACTGCGATTGACAAAAAAACAAAACATAACGCGACATAATCAAAATAGAAACATTACTATTGGAAACGTTCAATTCGGCGATTCCCACCGGCTAGGGTATCCACCGCGTACGATTTTTGCGTGCATGCTGTATCGCAAGTTACAGCCATGGTTACAGCATAAACGCAAAGATCATGTGGGAATCGAACACACAACATCCATGTTTGCTATTCATTATCCACCATCAACTAAACTCCTTAAAAAAAACTAAATAAAAAAAAAAAAAACTGGCTCGTGTAGGAATCGAACCCACGACCTTCAAAAAAAAATAAATAAAAAAATATTTAAAAAAAACTTGCCCCGTGTAAGAATCGAACCCACGATCGCCGAGTTTACTACTCCTGATCCAGCATGACTAAACGGAGGGAGGTAAACCGCGGCCCCTAAACCATAAATGCGATAAACCTAGTTCCACACCAAGTACCAGTTAGTCAACTCTGATTCTACTAGAAAAAAATCTTTGGATATATACACTGGAAACCAGGTGGTTGTGTGTTCAATTCCCACACGAACCATTTTTTTTTTTTTAAGGCAGTTTAGATGATGGTGGATAATGAATAGGCAACCTGGTTGTTGTGTGTTCGATTCCCACACAAACATGTTTTTTTTAATGCAGTTTATTTGATGGTGGATAATGAACAGCAAACCTGGTGGTTGTGTGTTCGATTCCCACACAAACTATTTTTTTTTTTTAAGGCAGTTTAGTTGATGGTGGATAATGAATAGCAAACCTGGAGGTTGTGTGTTCGATTCCCACACGAACCATTTTTTGTTTTTTGTTAAGGTTAGAGCTTCATCCAATTGCAATTTATATATTTTATATGAGAAGAATCTATGAATATTCACCACAGGAGCCAGGTTTTTTTTTTCTTTTTTTTTTCTTTTTTAAATCTTCATTTTTGGCTAGTATTTAAGGACGTACTGTGTACCGTACTCGCGCGAATAAGCGCCCCGTTTGAATAACCGCCGTGACGTGAAAAATTCCTTAGCGCCCCGTTTGAGTAAGCGCCCCTTCTAATTTGAATTAGCGCCCCTCATAAGATTTTCTTTTTAGCAAGTCAATAATCCAATCAATCATGGGACTGTGGTTGTTGGCATGATTTGAGCTGTAGAGTGGAAACACATTCTTCTTCGTCAATATCAAAATGAGGATATTTCTCTTGGACAGAGAAAGCTCCGATCCCTGGACAGACAGTATATTTCCAACTTTACTCTTTTTACATATTTGTCTATGCATAGTTCTACTCCTCTTTCTCTTTTTCCGACATTTAGCACATTTTCATCTAGTTTTCAAGAAAAAATACAATGATCCTGCCATCCTGCTAATCTCAATCGGCCGATGGCCAACAAGCTAACCACTAGCGTCTGCTATTTTGCTGTTATGTAAATATTCACGCATTCTTGTAATGAGCCATTTTCTCTGGACGATTATCTTTTCTAACCACCATTCGTGATGTCCTTATATAATCTTTTTTCATTCAAAAGTGACTCTTGAATTTAAAAATTTTCCATAAGAACCCCTCGATTTTCATCTATTTCCATAAGCGCCCCCTCAATTTCCACTCTGTTTTCATAAGCGACCCGTTTAAATAAGCGCCCCTCAGAAAGTGCAAAATTATAATAATATTCGCGCGAGTACGGTATTTGGTACGATAACACAACACTCCTCACTCCTATATTTCTTGAGGCAAACTTAGCATTTTTAGTGGTTGTTATCTGGCTAGATAAACTGGAGGTCACACGAAACATTTTTAAAACATTTATTTTACTGGCCAGTAATTGGGGACGTACTGAGTATTTAAAATGTCCACTAAATAATCTTAGATAACATAGTATAATACATGACCATGCATAATTGACCCACAGTGTATATTTCATCTTTACATTTCTTTAGTTAGACCTTTTTTTGATTATCCCTGTGTTCTTTATACTGTAATTCTATTTCGTTCTTACAAGCCCATCAGATTGAGAGAGTTCAGTCTAAATTTTTATATTTTTTAAATCACAATTTTAAAAATGACGATATTGTTTCATACGCACTTCCCTCACTTAGAGAAATATTTTTGATATGGTTTTTCTTTTTAAATGTGTTAATTCTATTTTTGTTACTATAGTTTATGTTCTTTATTCCCTCTTAAGATTAATAGACCTGGCTCTGGCCGTCGTAATGACCATTTTTGGTTCCCTTTAACAGAGTCAATACTCAACGCGAGTACGGTATGTATGGCAGGCCTCCCGAGCGAAACCATAGCGGAACAGTTCAGTGGTGTATCTAGTGAATGCTACGGCGATAGGCCAAACGTCTTAAATAGACCTTATCAAGACAGTGTGACATCTTTATCAAAAGTATCGTCATATTTTTCTTTTTATTAGTTAATGGATTATAATTGTAATCATGACTAGACACAGTTTGTGTAGGCCTACTGCATGGTCTTTGAGAGTTAAAAAAGTACATTACTGTAATATTGAATCTGGCTATTTGAGTACTACGTTGTTTGTATCCCCTATCTGTTTGTATTTGTTGTTTGTGTGCCCCTATCTAAAGGATAAAAATGTTTAGACAATCTAGGCGGCAAATTACTAGTATTTCAGACACTGAGTTGTTAGTTTTACAATAAAAAAATTATGAAAAAAAATCACTGTCAGTTAACAGACGGATAATCCATTCATGCCCTGGCAATGAATTAGTAAACTAATACCGTATCAAAAAGTGAAGGCAAAATTTACGGAGGTGGAATTGGTGTACTCTACAAGAAATTTCTAAATTTCAGTCTCTAAATCCATCTGATGCCACTTACGTAAATTTTGAACATTGTTCACCATTAGAAATGCAGTCCAGCTAGTCTGTATCTCGCCCACCTCCATGTCGTACTAATGGACTGAAGACATCCTTTAAGAAATTGAACGCTTCTTTGAGGTTTTGTGTGTTACACCTCATAAAATTGCAATATTTGGAGATTTTAACTTGCACATGGACATGTCTTGTATTCTAAAGATTTTAATGATATAATGATATACTAGCACACGGGATTGCATCAATTTGTTAACCATCCAACACTAAAGGTGAAGCATGTTTTTGATTTGGTCATATCTCGTCCAGATGATCGTCTTATTCACTGTAGGCCACTGTGAATCCTTTGCAATACTCTGATCACCACGACGTTGTTGCTTGCATAATTAAATGTGAGGAAGCTCCTGATCTCAAAGTCATAACAAGACGCGAGATGGTAAAATAGACCACGAGCATCTGAAGCTGATGTTGCTGATCGTTTTAATGATTTTCCTTCCTGAGAGTGATGATGTTAACTTTCTTGTCAATTCGTTTGTCTCAATTGATTCTCAATTTTGATTATTTATTAACTATATTTAGGTGAATAACATATACAGACAATATGGTAACGCTGTTTTACAGTAATTGTAGGTGCTGCAGAAATCTTAACAAGACAACCACTTAATTACTAAATCATTTGTACAAAAACCATGTTTAACATGACCTACGGTATATTCTGCTTTTCATTTGGTCGCTTGTATTGGGATTTTTAAAACTAATAATGTTTTAACCTTTCCATAGACCTCCTTTATAGGATGGTGTGGTTATTGTATTGGTATCGAACAATGAACTAATAAGGGGGAAATTCAGAAAGTACAATACTAGGATAACAGGTGTGTTGATAGTAACTCACAGAAATGAGGCAATTGTGTTTACTTATTATAATTTTCACAGTGTCAGTGACGTGCATTAAAATAACGAAACAGGTGGATCTGTAATAATCTAGTAGCCACAGATTCCTTCATGTACCACAATACAAAAGATATTATTGACATAAAGTGAATAATAATGAACGTGGAAATTAATTTAATGTTAAATGTATTTTTAGGAATCTATTTCACTTTATGTGAATAGCTTTATGCTGATTCAGTACAAATTAGAATTATAACAATCGTTCAGTAAATATTGTCAGTTATATACTTTTTAATTGGACAATAGATGTGATAATGCTGACAGCTGTGTGCATATTGTTTGTAAAATGAACTTGGCGATAGGAGATGATTAATACCTATCATCGTCATCGCTACCAGTATACCGGTACTGCATGGTGAAGGCTCTTTAAAGACTACACTTTAACTCCTTGCATTAGATGTCTATTTTGTGCTTTACTTATCAGTTATTTATTCACAATACAGAACCCTCCCCAAATCCCTTTGTCTGGGACAGTCCTCGGGCACAACCCCTCTTAAAGGGACTTTTTCTATCCTATCGTAAGAAATGGACTAAAAACTTAATGATTATTAATTCATTATAATATTTGTTTGACATGAATTTTGTTTTACTTGATATATTTAAAATGGATCAGTATCTGCATACAGCATGTTGTGTCAAGTCTTCATCCTTGCCTGTTAAAACGGTCCAATGTGCGGCCGCCGTAAGGAGCAATGTATGCCCAGCATTTGGGGGCGAAAATCTAAATAGGAGGACGCCATTCAGGACACCAGACACTATTTCCCCCCGAAGATGTTTCGAATAACTGTTTTATTTATGACATCGAATCATCTCGGTATCTCACTTTTTGGGTCTTGATCGTGTTATCCTGGAGGTCTCATCGATCACTTTTCACTTTCACTTTATTCATTCACTTGTATTCACAAAAAAGAAAAATAAGGAAAGAAAAGAAATACAGAAACACTCAAAAAAAAAAAATAATAAATAAATAAATTAAAAAAAAAAAAATTGCAAGCCAAGCAGATCCAAGCTAACCGCTAACGGTTAGCGCTACCGACGACCGGGCGTTCTTACGCAGGTGTTAACGGTTGGCGCTAACGGTTAGCTCCCGATCCGGATACTAGGGCTCTCGTGAGAACCAGGCTGCAATCTTTGCTTACACCGGTGCGTTACTGTGGCCTACTGTAGCTATCCGATCATTTCGGTCACGCCTTCATTTCGGTCGCGCTATTTTCGTTATGCATTTTGGTCGCGGTGTATGGCGCGCCGACGGTCCGACCGCAAATCTGGAACAAGGGAGCTAAGCAGTATTATTTTTATAAACACAAAACTTACATAAAACATTTGACTAACAATTATTTGCATTACTGTACTATAATATTATAGTTTATGAATATTAATATTACGTGTATCACTTGGTGTTATTTTTTTTATTTTACAGAAACAACGAAAATGTTACAAACGACTTGGATTGAGACAAGTTTCTCTTTAACGCTTGTTGCGATATAGCCTATATTTTAATAAGTTGAAGAGAGATTTATGAAATAAATATAGTCAATAGATTAGTTTTGCATACATTTTTTTTCTTGTCTGTTACGTTTCCATTATCTTGAATGTTCTGATCATGTTTATAATTTGATAAATGAACATAATGAATGATGAATGAAAATGAAGGAAATATATAGTATTTTCATATTTATTTTCCATCATAAAATTTTCAATATGCCTATTTATAATCAAACACCGTACATTTTAATGGCCCATTTCAGACTTCTTTTATTCATAAGCCCGACGAAAGGACTCTTTCTAGTCCTATATATAGTTGTGCTAGAGTTAAATTTTCCACAAACTAGATTCCCATGTTACTCTTGAGGTGAAGCAGCACAATGTTTGTATTTTCTTGTTTGTTTTATTTCCATTTTTGATACAGAATTATATTCAAATTACTCGTAATTAATAACACTCGTAAAAAACTTAAAACAACAATCATACTAAAAAAAATACAAAGAATATTAGGCCTATGATAGACAAGCATCGTAAAAAAATAAGACAAAATAAATAAAATTAATACCCAGTCTGAAACACGCACCAAAAAAAAACTTTAAATACAGAACCCTTTAAAAATTACTTTCCAAACATAAAGCACTAGTGTGTATATCGGCGTTCCATACTGAGGCTGTTTATCGTTGCGACTGAAATGCATAACAATACGGTGCGACCGAAATGATCTGTATTCGACCTAGTTTTAGGATGATTCGGATTGTGAGGTTAAAATATTCATAATGTCAGCCAGAGAGTTTCCAAACACCTTAGACGATTATGTTACAACCTCTACAGAGCTAATTAGCAAGTCTGGCAAGGTAGGCTTCGGCCTAGGCTAGCCTATCCTAGGCCTAGGCCTATGTCTTACAAGACAGAAACCATGAATGATGTCATGACCTTGCTTTAGGCGCGCCTATATATAGGCCTAGGCCTACATTATGAGGAATTGGGGCTGTTTTATGTATGGGCCTATACATATGTATATAGGCCTATTTAATAATTAGAAATAATTATTATTATTTGTAAAACAAATATAATAAATTTAGGGAAAACGCCGAAAATTCTACAATTCTACAGACGCAGACATAAATTTTCCCAAAATATATAATAAAATTTTAACAATGGCTAGGCTGGACCTAGGCCTAACCAATTATTGATACCATAATCTATCAATAAAAACATTCATTTGATTAATTAAACAGCAGCTTTTTGAGTGGCAGTGCCGATAGAAAACTGCAGAGTTTTGGCACTGCGGCAGTGCCGATAGAAAGTCTGAGCTTTTTTCGCACTGCGGCAATAATGCTGATAGAAAATAACAGCTTTTTTCACACTGTGGCAGTGCCGATAAAAAATAGCAGCTTTTTGGCACTGCAGCCGATAGAAAACAACACCTTTTTTGGCACTGTGGCTGGCGACTTCGAGAATTCATTGCTCCGTGTTTTTTCAATTTCGAACTAACATTTTTCCTTATATCTGCTGTCTGGTGTTAGAATACTTGTTTTGTATAAGATATTGATATGTCTGTGCATCAGGACTTTTTAATTTTGGTATGTTTTTGGACTTTGGTACTTTACCTTCATACTGTGGAATCTGTACCCCGAATCAGCTATGCAAGTTGCGTCATGTTCGCGCTTGGTCAGCGGGGATCGGTAGAGCCTTCACAATCAAGCCTAGGCCTAGACCTACCCGACTGGATTCCTCGAAGGAATGAATGTATATATCAGTCTTGCGAATATCGCAAATATAAACGTAAGCGTAGAGGTAGTTGAGGGGGAGTTAGAAGTCGGATGAAAAAGTACCGACATCGCCCACCGCTTCCAATAATTACACTTAGCAATCTACGGTCTATCAACAATAAGATAGACGAACTTCAAGCTCATACAAGATACATTTCCGATTTCAGTAACTCTGGAGTACTATGTTTCACAGAAACTTGGTTAAGCCCAGATATTCCTGACTCTGTTTTAAGCATTGACGGTTTTGATCTAGTACGTCTTGATAGATCATCTGAAAATACGGGTAAATCCTGCGGTGGAGGTATATGTATGTATATCAACAGTCATTGGTGCACAAATATGAAACTAAAAAAGCGAATGTAATAAAAATATTGAATTATTATGTGTGGCTCTAAGACCTTTCTACTTGCCACGGGAATTTAACCAAGTGCATATTGTACTAGTGTATATTCCGCCAGATGCAAATGCTGAGGATGCAGCCAAAGTCGTGTCAGAGTGTATTCAAGAATTATCTGATGAATCTCCTGACTCTCCAAAGTTTGTTCTTGGGGATATCAATCATAGTGAGCGGGCTCTCCATTCAGTGCTTCCGACATATGATCAGTGCGTGAATAAACCTACAAGAGGGAACGCCATTCTGGACCAGTGTTTCTCCAGTATAAAGAACGCTTTCAAATGCCATATTCGATCACCAATAGGAAAGTCAGATCACAATGTTGTGCACTTAACGCCAGCATATTTGCAAAAGATAAAAAGAGAAAAAGTGACCAAGAGAGAAATCAAGATTTGGGATGACAATAGCATAGAAAAATTACAATCATGCTTTGAGGGCACGGACTGGGAACAGTTAATTGACAGAGGAAACCTTTCAGAGTCCGTAAATGTCATTAATGACTACATCAATTTCTGTGAAGAGCTAATTCTGAAAACAAAAATTATCAAGATCTACCCAAATAATAAACCCTGGTTAACAAAAAATGTAAGGGTATTAATTAAGAAACGAAATACTGCGTTCAAAAATGGTGACCTTGCACAGGTCAAGGATCTAAAAATTCGCCTTAATAAAGAAATACAGAATGCGATGGATGCGTATAAGGAAAAACTGAAAAACTGCTTTAGGACAAAAAATACCAAAAATGCATGGGAATGCATGTATAAAATGACAGGCATGAAACAGCAAAAGAAGTCTCCTATTATCCATGAAGGTAACCGCAAACGTACCGCTGATGAACTGAATGCTTTCTTTGCACGATTTGAAATGGATAAATCCAGACAATTGCATTCGTTTTCTCATGATATTGAAGAACAATACCTTGATAACTGCCACATTAAAATACAAAAGTGGCAAGTCGAAAAGCAGTTCCAGAAAATAAACCCTAGAAAAGCAGGTGGCCCTGATAATATCAGTGCCAAATTATTAAAAGTTTGTTCCCACCAATTAGCCACACCTTTCACCATGTTGTTTCAAGACTCATTGGATACACACTATATACCCCCATGCTGGAAATCATCAGTCATCATTCCTGTACCTAAAAAATCACGACCAGCTGAATTCAATGATTTTCGGCCGGTCGCATTAACTTCTGTTGTGATGAAGACATTTGAACGCTTGATTACTGAGTTACTATTTCATCCGCTGCTGCCAAAAATCGATCAATTTCAATACGCATATCAGCCCCGTAAATCTGTTGAAGATGCAGTATTGACGCTTATACAATCTATACAACAGCATGTGGATAAAGCTGGTCATTTTGCCAGAGTAACATTTTTTGACTTTGCTTCGGCGTTTAATAGCATGGACCCACCTTCTCTGATCAGTAAGCTGAAAGATCTTGATGTTAACCCCCATATCATTCTCTGGATACAGAACTTCCTACACAACAGAACCCAGCGCGCCTCTATTTTAGGAACCCTCTCAGATTACTTAACCACCAACACTGGCTCTCCCCAAGGGTGCGTGCTATCTCCATTACTCTACATCATATATACAAATGATTGCCGATCAAAGTACAAGGACACAATGATACTAAAGTATGCGGATGACACAGTGCTGATTGGACTCATTAAGGACAATTGTCTTAATTATTTTAATACCTTAAAAGATTTCTTACAATGGTGCAAAGACAACTACTTGAATTTAAATTGTAATAAGACAAAAGAACTAATTGTGGATTTTAGAAAGAACAAAAGAAATGATATTGAACAATTAAAGATTAATGATACTAATATTGAAGTTGTAAATAGTTATAAGTATCTGGGGTTTTTAATCGATAATAAATTAACTTGGGAAGAACATTGCAAAGTTGTTATAAGTAAAGGCATGTCACGTCTCCATTTTCTTAGAAAGCTACATTCTTTTAGGGTCGATGATACCATTCTTAAACTTTTTTATAAGTCTATAGTTGAAAGTGTTATTATATTTGGATGTTGCATCTGGTTCAATAGCCTTAGAAAAACAGATTCAAATAAACTACAAAGAATTGTTAATCAAGCTAACAAATTAATTAAAGAAAGCATTTGTTTAGAAGATGTCGTTATGAAAATAGTAACTAACAAAACCAGTAGCATAATGTTGGATAATACACATTCTCTGTCTTCGTATTACAATTGGTTGCCATCAGGGAAAAGGCTGAGAATGATTATGTGCAAGACCAAGAGATATCATAACTCATTTATCCCTCTTTCCATTAGGAACTTTAACATTAGCAATAGATAACCTGGTTGGTATCCGTCGGCAAAGAAGTGTACCAGTTATTAAATTATTAAATTGAGCAATGCCCTTTTTATGCAATAATTTTAATAACATTTTATACCTTTCTATTTTTACATTTTAAATATTTTTTCTGCAATTTTATTCTCTATTTTTATGGGTCCTTTGTGCAATAATTTTTAATGTAATTTTAATAATTTGATTTTATTATTAACTTCGATTTATGTATTTTCTTATTGTCAATTGTAATAATTTGTATTGTACTTGAATATTACTAATTTAAATATATATATTTTTATTACTAATTTGTATATATTTTTTCAATGTTGTAATTTTTGAGCAATGACTATTCTCAATGTAATTTCCTTTTGGACAAATAAATTTGAATTTGAATTTGAATTTGAAACAGCACCTTTTTTTCGCACTGCGGCAGTGCCGAAAGCCTCAGCCTCCGTTTTACAGTGAAAACTCTTTAGGCCTTCATAATATAGGCTAGCCCCCCACCCCCACTAGCTAGGCTAGGCTTGGTCAATATCTAGCCTAGGCCTAGACATTGTCTGCAAGATAAATCGGAAATCACCTAAAAAATTCTGTTAAAAACCTTAGATAGCTCATTGAAAGGATCAAAGCAATGATATTACAGTGGCTAGAGATGCAGTACCGTATCTTAGTTTCTGTTTTCTAAAGGTACGGTAAATTGCATTAGGCCTAGGGCCTATCCAACAATAAAATGCCACTACCAGCATAACAACATCGTTCAAATGTTGGTTGCTGTGAGCCTGCTTTCCTGATGAGTTGTTTTTATATACAAAAGTGACATAAGACAACGTCTGGTAAACAAATAAAAACATAAAATATATAAATATAACAGAATGCATTTGTGAAGCATAGTGGGATATTATTGATCTCAAGTGAACGCCAGCAGCAGTGATTCTGTCAACGGATTCTGTCAGTGAAGGCCATGTGTCTTCTGAGGGAGACAGCTACGTAACAGTAAACTTACTGAAACTCATTAAAAAAAAAAATACAGTTAATAAAAAATGCCACAACTACAGAATAATTATGACAATCTTCTGTCCATACTAATCAAAGATACATTATCATTATATTACATAAAGCCTAACAATAGCCAGTTCCAATCTATTGAGACCAATAAACCGTGTACTCTCATGTTTTTCTATGTCAGCTGCACTCATTTTTTTTTTTAAGTGGTGGTTGCCAGGAAAGAACTTTCACAGATAGGAAAAATATCATCTCAGCCCCACGATGGTTGGGGCTGAGGTAAGAAAATTTATAATATTATGACATCCTTAGATGGTCGGAAATGGCACTCTCAGACTTAAATTTTAATATAATTTTCTTTTTTCTCCATTTAATTTTTGAATTGAAAAAAAAAAAAAATGCACTCCAAGTTCTCTTACCCTGCCACTAGAAATTTTCCGACCACAAAAATATCCACTAACCAGTGGTTTAGTTAAGCAAATTTTTAAGGTAAATATACCTCTAGATTTTTGGAAATGGCACCTTCAGGCTCAAAAATAAGTTTTCAAAGCAGTGTTTGCAACAGAATAACATGCCCCCGAGTCTGCTGGTACCGCAAATGGTTAGACATCGCATCATATCAGCGCCCCACTTAATGCAAATCCCCACTATTCTCCCCCTCCCCGTGTCAATACAGTGAGTTAAAGAAGACTGAGCTAAATTCAGAAAAAAAAAAAATCATGAAAACAATGCTAGAGTAGGTGGTGTTTCTATAAACAGAAACACTTTTAAAAAAAATTGGCCGGAAAATGATTTATTTTTAGAAATGTTGCGTGGGCCGGATTTGGCACGCGGGCCTGGGGTTGAATACCGGGGCTATATACAATAACAATGTAATTAACTTTTGTATGAGAAAGGATGGTATATCACAGACCCTATTTTGTATATGGCCTAAAAAAATAAATTGTTTGCCCTTTCTTTTTTTAAAATGATAAAAAGGTGCGAGTGGCAAAAGTTTTTTTTTTTCAAAAATTAATCGTAAGATGAAATAAAAATAACCCACAGTTGACATTTTGCAATGAATGTAGGCCTAGAATAGCAATATCTTACATCAGACAACAACTTTAGACAACTTTGTAGGGCATTTGGCAAAAAAAAGATCAATTCACTCGCATTGTTTTTAATTTGTAAAGAAAAAAGCTAAAAAAACCATTTTTAAAGTTTTTTTGTTTTAGGTGTGGGTGAGGAGGGCAAACAAACATTTTTTTTGGGGCCCAATTAATTTTATTTTTTCCTGATATAGTGTAACATTTGGACTCCCTTAATGTGAAAATATTTTGATTTGATTAAGTTTGTTTTTAAAGAATGAATTATCTCATCATTTGAAAAGTTTACATGTTAAAAGCTTTGCTTCCTGTGTAGAGTAATTGTGATTTTGTAATCGAATACTCCATTAGTTATGTAACTAAAAATTACAGACTTATGAATAAAAATATTTTGTGTAAAGTTTTAGTTTGTCAGTTTATTCGTACTAACAGTTATTTGGGCAGGGAGTTGTTAAAATAGCAACATCTTACCATTAGGTCGACCAGCCCTCCTTAAACTAACGTTAGAATACCGCACTTTCGGCGGTAAAGAACAATTAAAACCTCATAAAAAAGGCAACTAATCCGTTTACCCATAATTAATATAGTGAGATAACGTAACGTTAGTTTAAGGAGGGCTGGTCGGCCTAATGTTGCAGTTATACTTTTACATCAAGTTGTTATCAGGCAAAAAACATTGTATTTACAATTGTGTTTAATTTATTTTTGTAAGACCGCAACACGATATAATTTAGTGCAGAAATAGTGAACAATTTCACAAGTCTTCATGAACAATGACATCACACCGTTGGTAGCATTTATTGGATGATGCAATATACTTGTTCTAGGCCTAGAGTATCTGACCTAAACCATTTGTTACATTTTAACATCATCATTTTGTATTCCCAGTTTATAGATGAGATATCAGAACGATTGAATTCTGGAGTCACTAAGCTGGTTGCTAAATTGAATGATGGTCTTCAAAGAGATTCCAGTAGTGATGGAGACTACTCAATATATACTGGAAAAACTGGCAAGTTCTCTACCGTTGTTTTGAATGGCAGGTGTCTTAAGTTGAAAGAAATCAATTCCGGAAGATGTTTCTGGGAGATGTGGTTAAACAAGCTTCCTTATCATATGATATTTAAGTTCATTTTGCTGCGTATGGCGATACACATCGGCACTGACTTTCATGAGACAATTGATACTAAAGCAGTATTTATTTCTTGTTTAACCTGGGTTAACAATTAAGTTGAAACCAACTGTTATCCTTATGTGCTTAATATACGGTACACAAAACACGTAATCCTTAACTACTTACTTTAAAATATTAATAGTAATAATTCATAATAAGAACAAATAATTCAAAATAAGAACAATAATTGTTCCTAAGAATTGAAATTTTTCAAAATAAGAACAATAATTGTTCATAAGAACAGTAATTCATAATAGGAACCCCAGACACAATTTTTTTCATTTCATTCATTTTGTCAAACATTTTCCGTGGTGGCGGGGTACGATAATTGGCCAGAATAAAATTTTAGTCTTATTTGAAATAATCAATATTGGTGAGCTGTGGGTTCGCTAAACAAGGTATAAAAAAAGTCTCACCTTGCATGCTATAAATCGTCGTTCACATCACGAACTAACACAATCAAAGTAGATTGTGTTAGTTCGTGAAATAAAAAAAGAGCGTCAAAATACACGCTGTTGTCGTTAAGAACTTTTTGTGTGGTAGAGAATACAAAATTGCTTGACAACCAATACGCACTCGTTTTGACGCGCTACTGTGATTTCACGAACTAACCGAATCTACTTTGATTGTCTTAGTTCGTGATGTGAGCGACGAAATGTTTAACATACTTGCTGTTAAATGAGAATGAATATGTTTTCAAAACCAAATGGTCTACTGATTATATTGTATGTGTGTATGATTTCAATTTTATTGTTTTTCCACTATTACAGGTATTGCATTGCTTTATCTGCACCTATACAACACTAACTCAGATGAAACGTACCTCACAAAAGCTGAAGAATATATAAGTAAATCGTTGAAACACTTAAAAGGTCGTAGGGCTACTTTTCTATGTGGTGATGCTGGCCCCTTAGCTGTAGGGAGTGTGGTATACAACAAAATGGGAAAGAAGCAGAAATCTAAGGATTGTGTTGAAAGGTACTATTGTACAGTACATAATAAATGTGTAAATGTACTCATAAAATTGGAGTTTGTTAGCCATTATTGTCTAATTAATGATTTTTAAATATAACCTCTTATTATTACATTATTATGTTACTGTATTGAATTATTATTGATCATTTTATTAATTATTATCTCCTCCAGGAGATATTGTTTTTAGTCGTGTAAAGTTTGTGTGTGTTCATCACATTTTCGCGTTTTGTGTTTTTTTTTTGTTCAAATTATCTAAAAAACGGTGTGTTAGGTATGTCCCAATGAAGAAATGATTAAATTTTAGTGTAGGTCCGGAGTAGGGTTTGGATGTGAGTACCAATTAAAGGAATTTAAGAGCAAACAAATTCGCAATGAAAATATAACGAATTTACACCATATATTTAAAAAATGTGTCAACTTATCGGAATGAAAGTTACAAGGAAGAAATTATTAAGTGTTAGTGACGATCCAAATTCGGGTGTGAATTTGAGGGTCATTTATAACCTTAAGGTCCCAGACCTAAATATCTCTAAAAATAATCAATGAATCTAAATGACACTACTCAGAATAGTTTGTCATGTTTCAATGAAGAAACGTTTAAATTTTGGTGACCATCTGGAGTAGGGTTGTAGATATGAGGACCATTCAGAGGAAAATGTCCCAGACCAGATTTTTCAAAACTAATTAACTGATCTGAATGAAACTTATGTGAAAGTTTAACAAAGTTACAAGGAAGAAATTTTGAAGCGTTGGCGACGATCCAAAGTCGGGGGTGCATTTGAGGGCCATTAGGTCCCAGACCTAAATACTTTATCTCTAGAATGGATCAATGGTTCAAAATGATGATTTTTTTTGTCAATTATAAAAGTAAAATGTTCGTGTGAGTTTGTCCAGCAGAAGTAAGCCGTTTCTGGTTGGCCGATTAGTGTACTTTTTTTAAAGTAGGTGGTGGTTGGAAAGAAAGTGGGTTGTCACATTTTTTGTTTACAATCAGTAGTTGAAAATAAATTGTTTCAATACTATGTTTCTTGAATTGAATTCTGTGTTCAAAACGTAACATTTATAGTAAAAAGTAGGCTGAAATTGAATTTTGGTGAAATTTGGATTACACAATCTGAAAATGGCTACTCATAAAAAGGTACCCCAAAAACATATACTAAAAGTAGCAATAGTGCCCCTCTTTGGTGGTGGTGGTTGAAGTAAATTACAATAGGAACATATTTTGTGAGATTTATTTTATAGAAAAGGATTTGTGGTGGGCGGAGATATTCTCTCTACTGAGTGTTCATTATTATTTATTATTATTATTACTACTATAACTATTAGTACTGTTGTAATATTATTTTATACTAATACTGTTACTGCATTTCTAACCCATAAAAAAAGAAAAAAAAAAAAGAAAAAAAAAAAAAAAACTTGTGTTAAAAAAGATCTAGGGTCAGTTTTGTTTTTGGCTAATTTTTTAAACTAGAGGAGTCCAAAATGCCATTCTTGTCCAAGGAATTTAGGTGTGTGTTTACAATTTGTGACCCAAGCTCACAAACGGGCTGTAAACTCGCACTGCACTGTATTGAGAAACAAGCCTCAATACCCAGAATAGGGCGTAGAACGTGAATTTTGTGTGAATTGGGTTTTTGTGTAATAAATAAGGTATAACTATTAATCTTACTATTCCAGAGGTTTGATTTTAAAATTTCAACTTTAAGAGGTAAAATTTAGCCATTTTCGGATGGGAGCTATTGAAAAATGAATAGAAACCTGCCGAAAATAAAAGCACTTTTCTCAAAACTTGATTTAAGAAAGTTGATAAGATGACGATTATTCAAACGGTCATAACTTTGCTTCCAGACACCCGATTGAGTTCATTTAACTGTCATTTTAAAGTAAATGATATGTTCTATGCAATTATAACAAAAACTCATTTTGGCCTGAGGACGAGTTTACAGCCCGTTTGTGAGCTTGGGTCACATTTTAGTAACCAAAATACATGCGATTGAGTGAGCAGCCTGGCTCCAATTAACAATCATCATTTGTATTTTTACAGATTACAGAAACTGGTTGATATTGTATTAGATGAGAGCATACCAGATGAGTTGCTATATGGCAGAGCAGGGTACCTCTATGCATTGCTATTTGTAGAGCATTTCCTTGGTGAGGAAACTATTCAAAAAAATATCATTGAAAAGGTTGGTAATAGGTAGACTATGGGTTCCAGTCCCTAAAGTTTGTATTAAAAAAATGAAAACTATTGAAAATAATTTGATTTTGGCTCCAATGGCATTCCATATTATTTATTTGCATGGCGTTCCATACTATCCTAATTCAACAACATAGCAAAAACAGACTCTGGTCGGACTCTCCAAAATTATCTAACACTTGGAAAAGTCAATAAATAAATTAGAGACTTGCGGCAATCTAGGTCGTAGGATGAAAAGCTAACACAGCAAAATATTTAAACCTAAAATAAACTTATTATTGACCCATAATTGTTACTGATAACCAACTTTTGATAACACTTTATCACTCATGTGTGTATTATATCAAATAAATAAATGATTAATATTTTTTTTCTGCTTATTTTGTAGCTTCAAGTCTGCATATTAGTTATGTGATATTTGGTTTATCCTAGGCTAAAATATTTTTTTTGTTTTATGTTTGTGGCCAATTTTATAAACACAAGTAAAAGCATTCTCTTAATTTGTCTCAATAAAGGATCAATTAAAGTATTTTGCAGTTAATATTTTTTTTAATATGTTCAATTGGAAGTTACAATACAATATACAATATTTATTGGATATCACTTTTGCAACAGTGGCTCAAATGATCTTTTTTAAATCAGCAGGTCTATAGATTTTTTTTTGACAAATTGGTTTACAACATACAGTATAACTTTAAAGTGAATTTGGAACTTTGTTTCTTTCTAAAAGGTAACAATGATGGTGTTGGATTCAGGGAAAGCATTGGCAAGAAAAGAGAAGTCCAAATCACCCCTGATGTACAAGTGGCATGATAAGCAGTATCTTGGAGCAGCTCATGGCCTGGCTGGAATTTACTTTCTACTGTTGCAGGTAATAATCTCTTCTCCATATGTGGCAAAGACAAGCCAAAACCAGTCACTCGTCGCAAATACTGTTTTGGGGATAATGGCCAATACATGCTGGAATGGCAAAATTTTGGAAATCTATTTTATTGCACTAAACTAACTTTTATATATCTATACATCATGCTATGCTGTTATTTTCCTCATTTTCAATGTTAAAACAACAATTTTTAACGATTTGGTGATGGTTTCTGCCCAAAAAATGTCTGAAATCAAACTTTATAACTAAGTATCAGATTTAAATGATCCTTTTACCATTCAATAACTAAAAATCACTAAATAACTAAAAATCAATTTTTGCGACGAGTGACTGGTTTGGCTTGTGTTTGCCGCATATGTAATGTAGAAGTTGTTTGGCGCAGCGGGAACGGTTTGGTTTCCCAACCTTGAGGTCGGGGTTTCAATCAGTTCCTTACTATGTATTTCGCTTGTGTCCTTGAGCAAGCCACTTTACCTACATTGTTACTCTCCACCCAGGAGTATAAATGGGTACCTGGTGGAGTTGCCTGCTCCTGCGGTCATTACAGCAGCATGTAGACCCAATGACCAGGTTATTAGCCCTTCATATCTGCAAAGAAAGGTGCCATAATAGATAGCCGAATAATAATAATAATAATCGATATTTCTCCATAATGTATATAAATTTATTATAGTGTATAAACAAAGTTTAATTGGACTGTTTAGTGATGAACTAGAAGAATGCCACAACTTCCTTATATAATGGAAGTTGTGGCATATTAAAAAGAATACTTACAGTACATTATAATAAAAGGGCAAGAGAAGCAGATGAAGAGTGAGCAGGTTTCTGCTAAGGTGCAGTGCCAATTGAGGGCCTATATAAGTCTTGCCATCCCAAAACCAGCATTCTGTCACTGATTAGTAAACTGAGTAATAAGAATGTGGTAGTATTGTATACTTCATTACAGAGAAGCCATAATACTTTTGCTCATAACTTTGGCAATAGTGACTTGATTTCAGTATATGACCCATCATTTTAAAGCTTACAAAGTGGAGAATATGAATATGTTAAAAAGTCAATTTTCATTTTTTGGTCACTGGTGCTCAATGGCAAACCTCATATGGTCTGAAGGGGAGGGTTTGGAAGGGTTGAGTGTAAATCAGGGGATATGCCCCCTGGAAGCTCTGGAGTTTTTAACAATTTTTTTCTCTTATCTAAACAATTCTATTCTTCGTGAGAATATTATTTTTACTGCTGCTGGAAGGGCAAACCTATTAATTCATTTTTGTAATGATCGATAGTGAATAGTGTCAAAATTGCACATAGCAATCTAGCATTAACTTAAGTAAATAGTTTCAATATAATTTAGTATTTTTTTTTTCTTTTTTTCTTTTTTTATTTGGCATCATCTTAAAAATACATACAGGATAAAATACATTAAAAACGTTAGGAAGCAAAGCATGAAAAGAGACGGGTAAAATAAAATAAAATGTAAAAAAGATCAAGTAGTGATGCTAGGATAACACATAAAAGTCATATAAAATAAAACAATTAATTTCCAGTGTGGTCCCTTTTAAATTAAAAAGGCCAAAGAAAAAACTAAACAATAAAAAGGAGTCAAATGGAAGGTCAAATATTGAATTATCAAAATAACGTATCCTCTTTGTGTAATTGGTGTTTCCTTCAGGTAGATCTTCCGGTGATAAGCAGTCACCTAGATGACGTGATTAAGCCAAGCATAGATTATTTGACTCGACTTCAATTTCCTTCAGGGAATTACCCTTCATCCCTTGGGAATGATACTGATCGTTTAATACACTGGTGTCATGGTGCTGCTGGAGTTGTTCACCTGATGCTCCAAGCTTACAAGGTAAATCTATGTTAATATAATTGGTATTTATTTACTTAGATGATAATGGATTTATTCTTTGTAAACTCCAAGAATAACCCACAAAAATCCGAAGACTG